CTGCCATTGAGTCAATTCCAATCCATATTGACACCATAGGACAGAGCTTAACTGTCCCATAGGATCCAAGGCTGTAAATCTCTACAGAAGCAGACTGCCCCATCTTTTTCCCATGGAGGGGCGGGTTTGTACCACCGATCTTTTGGTTACCAGTTGAATGGTTACTGCTGAGCCATCAGAGCTCCTTGATGGGATATAAAGCCCAATATACAGAAAATATTGTCATGTTAATATGTAATCAATAAAAAAAAATTCATGAGATATTTTACACTATTATTTTTATACTAAGTCTTTAAAATTCAGTGAGTATTTATTTTACAATTAAAGCACATCTCAATTTGAATTAGCCATATTTCAAGGGCTGGTAAACAGGCAACACAAGTCTAGAGTAAGGTCATTCAGAGAAAGGACAGATGATTACCCCCTCAACGATGAGGAAGGGCCAATGGAATGAACTTGCCACCAACTGGCTGGCTCATCCTTTTAGGCTATACCAGCAACTCGGGATTGGTCATGGCTGTTGGAAATTTGAACACCCAGCAATGGCTTGATGATCCCATGCATAGCTTCCAATCCTGATACCATCATCATTTTGCTTATGATTCTACTAAGTATGCACTGATCCTGGAGAAGGAGGGCAAGTTTCATCTGTATGATTCTTAAGATTCATTTTGAGACTCTCTTCCTAAATCTTCCTTGTCACCAGTTCTTCTTGCTTGCTCTTCCATGTCCTTGAACAACTGGCCCAACAATGTAGCCTCTTACCATGAATTGACCAAGGCCATCTCTCCTGCCAGTCAACACAAACATCAAGACACATTGCTGCACATTCTGCCCATTAAAAGAATTTCACAACTTCAGTTTTCTTAAGGGCCAACCTGAGTGGGGCTTCAACAACACAGCAATCCATTTCTGGCAGGTACCAGCACACTGTGCAGAGTAATGCACCTGCACCAAACTCAAACCAAACCAACTGCCACTGAGTCGATTCCGACTCATAGTGACACCCATTAGGTTTCCAAGGCTATAAATCTTTATATAAATAGATGCCTCTTCCTCCTGCAGAGCAGCTGGTGGGTTTGAATCGCTGACCTTCTGGTTAGCAGCCAAATGCCTTAACCATTACACCACCAGAGCTCCTTCATGCACCTGCACAACAGTGCCTGGCATACTGTGGTTGCTCAATACATATTTAGTGGATAAAAATTTTTAAAAAAGGGGGGGGGGCAGATCATGTCCCTCCCCCACTTAAGTCCTTCCCATAGTTTCCCATTGGTTTAAAAGACCCTATTGGGTGTTGGGTGTGGCCTCTGTGCTACTCTCGAATCCACCCAGCAGGAAGGTCTGGCAACCTATTTCAGTAAGATTACAGCCATAAAAAATCCTGTAGAGTGCAGTTCTACTCAGACACGCATGGGATCACTGTAAGTATGAATTGACTCAATGGCAAAGATTTGGGTTTTGGGGGGACTGCTCTCTGTACTCCAAGAGTTGGCCTTCAGTTCTGGAATGTTCCATGATCCCTTCTATGAAGATAGTTTTTTGCTTTGCTAGGCCTGGTTCCATATTGTTAAGACTCCAAATCTTCAGTAAAAATGCCGTTTTTTTAAAAAAAAAAATTTAAAAAAACCTGACTTCAGCTTTGTGTTATAATTAAATTGTTCTCTCTCTAATTAGTTATCAGTTAGTGCCTGGTGCATCTAAGACAGGGCTATCTAAAGACTCCTAAGAGTTGAAACACTCTGAGGGAGTGAGTCACTGGGCCCACAGGTTTGGGACCATGGTTGCAGGGGATATCAAGCTCAACTGGCGTAACATAACTGCACAAAAACATTGTTTCTACATCCTACTTTGGTGAGTAGCAACTAGGGTCTTAAAAGCTTGCAAGTGACCATCTAAGATGCAACAATAGGTCTCTCCTTGTCCAAAGCAAGGAACAATGAAGAAAACCAAAGTTGTGTGGAAACAATTAGTCTAAAGGACTAGTGGACCATGTGAACCTTAGCCTACATAATCCTGAGACCAGAAGAACTAGATGATGCCTGGCTACCACTGTTAGCCACTTTGAAAGGGATCAAAATAGGAGACCCTGAATAGAGTGGGAGGAAAATGTGGAACAAAATTCAAAATCATAAAAATGACCAGGCTTACTGGTCTGATAGAGACCGATGAAATCCCTGAGACTATGGCCTCTAGTTACCTTTCAGGCCTAGCATGGAACTCACTCCAGCCAAACAGACAGGTACACTTCTTAGAACAATCAACCAGGAGAGATCAGAAGGGCAGTATTTGCACAGGGAGATAGCTCAGAGGGCAGAAATGCATTGGAAAGAAGGACACAGGGAAGTGGTAACTACAGAAGGAAGTGGAAAGAGAGCTGTTACATTATGGGTATTGCAATCCATGTAATGAAACAAAAGGTGTATGAACTGTTGTATGGGAAATGAATTTGCTCTATAAACTTTCACCCAAATTACAATAAAAATAAATAAATAAACTAAATATAAAGACTCCTGGGCTAGACTTTGGGACTGGCCACCTAGGCTTTGACAAACACCAATGGAGCCTCTTAAGGATTATCTGACTACCAGGAACTCACAAGAAACATTCCTTTCTTATGCCTAAAGCATCTAACTGCAAACCAGAAGGCCGGGGGTTCAAACCCACCAGCCACTCCTTGGAAGATTGGGCAATCTATTTCCGTAGAGATACCACCTTGGAAACCTAAGAAGGGGTTGCTATGAGTGAGATTTGACTTGATGGTAGTGAGGGTTTTTTTGTTTTTGTTTTTGTTTTTGTATCTAACTTTTGTAGAATTGTTAACTAATCCTGCATATGTACTGTGTCTCTTTTTCCTTTAGTGTAAGAACCCCTGATTGTCGTGCTGAGTGTATTTGGAGTCACTGATACCCTGTCTGTCTCTTGTTGGTGCACCTCCTAATAAAATCTCTTTCTTCTTCTTGAACTCTGGTGTGGACCACTGCTGTGCTGCTCCAGGGCTGGATGCTGGCATTTTTTAAGTAACAAGATCGTTGCTCGGACTGTTTCCTCTCCTTGTCTATTTAACTTCATCCTTTAGATCTTGGCTCAAAGATCACTTCCTTTTGTATAGCCATTTTTCTTCAGAATATTTATCTCCTATTCATTTATGTATTTATTTAATTAATTCCTGTCTCACCCTGGAACTCTTAAGTTCTATGCCTATGTGCACCCACCATTGAATCTTCAGCACTGAATACAGTGCGGGGCATTTAATAGATGCTGAAAAATATTTCACTGAATAAATGAATCAATGAGTTTGTAATAAAATGCCACCCAGGTCATTTATCTATAAGTTATCACTGCTAGTTTTGCTTAAGAGGCGTTCTGCCACCATAGTTTCTATTCCTCTGATTCACATTTCTTTACTGATTAAAAAAAAAAAAAAAAAGTCATTTGCCAAAGAACTTTTCTAAGCATTATTTATATATTGTTGTTGTTATGTGCCATCGAGTCGGACCTGACTCATAGCAACCCCTCCTTGGGTTTCCAAGGCAGTATCACTGCGATAGTAGATTGCCCCATCTTCCTTCCAAGGAGTGGCTGGAGGGTTTGAACCGCCAGCCTTCTGGTTAGCAGTCAGGTGCCTTAGGCACTATGCTACCAGAGCTCCTATTTATATATTAGCACTATGCAACTATGCAATAGAGAAGGAGTCCTTGTGTCACAGTGCTTAAGCACTTAACTACTAGCCCAAAAGTCAGCAGTTGGAACCTACACTTTGTGGACTGTGAAGATTACAGTCTTGGAAACTCCATGAGGCAGTACTACCCTGTCTATAAACCAAAAACCAAATCAAACTCACTGTTGTCAAGTCAGATCCGACCATAGTGACCCCTCCTTGGGTTTCCAAGGCAGTGTCACTACAGAAGTAGATCACCCAATCTTCCTTCCGAGGAGTGGCTGGTGGGTTTGAACCACCAGCCTTCTAGTCAGCAGTCAAATGCCTTAGGCAGTGCATCACCAGAGCTCACGGAATTGACGGCAATGGGTTATGCAACAGAAATACAACATGAGCCACATTATTTTAAATATTCTCGTTGTCACATTTAAAAACATAAAAAATTAATTTATAAATGTTATTCAACCCATACGTAGAATATTATTTCAACATGTAATTAATATAAAAATTATTAAAGAGGCATTTTACATTCTTTTGTATTCAGTCTTCAAAATTCACTGGTATTTTACAGTTATGGCACATCTCAATTTTAACTAGCCATATTTCAAGCATTCAATAGCCATTTGCGGCCAGTGCATACCACATGTACCTAGTTGACAGTGCAGTTCTGTAAGATTCACTTTTACAAGTCTGACCACCAGGAAATGCCTGTAACTAGTGTCAGAAAGACCTCCACATGGTTAAATTTTTATCCAGAAGATGATTTAAACTAAATACCAGAGTAAGCTCAAACTCCTTCGGGCTTTGGAACTGAGAAAGTTTTGGCCTTCTTGTAACATCTTTATTAAAATGGATACATCATTCTTCTCTAAGATGGGGACTGCTTCCTTTGCAAGGACTTCTAGTTTTCCTCCTTAGAGGCCAGTTTATTAGATACATACTGTACAGCCAATTAGTCAGTTCCCTTGGCTGTCTGGGAAAATTTGAGGAGTTGGTTTTTCCGCCCAAGTTTAGCCTCATTAACTTCAGTTCCCTTTCTCAGGAGCCAGTCCCACAGAGCTGCGCAAGCCTAAGGGTAAGGCCACACAGTGTTGGACTCGAATTGCTCTCTCAGCTCGGAGAAGCGTATTTCCCTTCGCAAGCATTATACCCACACAACGGTTTTGCTTTTAAATAGGTCTTCCCACAACAGGGCCACCTGCCACAAGGAGGAACAGCAGCCGGTGAGTACACATCCGGCCTCCCTGCCCTCAACCCTACCACTCACCATTGGCCAAAGGAGAAGAGGCAGGACATCCGTTCGTGCCACTTCCGGAAGTGACGTAGGAGTGTCAACATGCAAGATGGCGGCCCATCACCGGCAGAACACGGCAGGGCGGAGGAAAGTGCAGGTATGAGAACCCGGCTTCTCGGCCTCTCGGACGCGACTGGCATCCTGGGGCCGCCTCTTGCTAGCAGATGCCTCAGGCTGCGACCCGCAGGGGTAGCCGTTTCGGGTGAGCGGGACCAGGCGCAGCCGGCGGCAAGGGGTGGGGCCGCAGTACTAACGGCTTGGGCAAGGGGAGGGAGGGGGGGCGGGGTAGCTGCCTTGGTTCACCCTGACCGGGACAAGTTGGGGAACCCTTGGGCTGCGTGCTCCGGAGCCGGAGGTTGCCGGTCGCCCGTCGTCCGATCTCCCGTAGTATTGGGCTTGCGAGGTTGGGATGGACCCGTTCTCTGCCCACCTGCCTCCCCCTCCAGCTTTTCTCCGAAGCGCACTTCGCTGAGCGTCGGAGCGCGGGCCTCCGGGCGCTTCTCGGTGGGCGGGCGGTGGAGTAGTATGTCGGCCCGAGTGGGGGTGTGACGGCGATCGGGAGAGCAAACAACCCTGCGGGGTTTTGCGGAGGATTCCGCACGTGGGAGCCCCGGCCTCCTTATCTGCGGGAGGTTTCTTTCTCGTGTGGAGGAAACGACGTGGTAGTGTGTTGGTGTTGGTGTGGAAATTATCATTTCATTTGTTCTGGGATTTAATTTTGTCTTCACCATTTTTTCATCTTCAGTATGCGTCCCCGAATCTTCTTTTGTATTTATAATTTGTTATACAAGGATAAAGAGTTGTTTAATCCTTCCGTGTATGCTTTGTGAATTCACTTTTATTTTGGGTATGTTTAAGGTTTCTTCCTGTCTTTTTTTTTCAGAGGTAAAAGACTAAAAGCCCTATTACAGGTGATTGTCTGCAGGTATATTGTGTGTGGTAGTAGCGACGTGAAGTTATTAACCATTTATTGAAGACTTGATTTGCATCCAGAAGTATGCATAGGTTTAAGAGAGTAAGGAATAAGTAAGGCCCAGGCTTTCTTGATAAAACACAGCATTTTATATAGTTCTGGAGGTTGAAATCAGTGAGTGAGAGTCAGGGCAAAGGATGCCTTCGGTAAGGTAACCGCAGGAAAAGGTTATATGGTAGGGCATGGACTTTTTTTCTGGAGCATTTCACCTCTTTGTTGTTTTGATCTCATCGATCAGTATAGTGCCCAAAGTACTGAGTGGATGTTTGTTGAATTGAGCGAAATGAAAGTGTGCCTGTGATAGGATTCAAGCAACACCAGAATCCAAGGTGGTGACATTGTCTTATCTGAACTAAAATGGAACTCAAAATTGTAACTTAATTGTATTGTAACTAGACTACCTAAAGTAATGAGATATAATTAGCTAGAGAATTTTTCCCAGGGAATCAATTAATTAAGAATTTAGGCAATGCTGATGGAGAGACTTGACAACTTGAAGAGCTGATAAAAACCAAAACGCACTGCTGTGGAGTCAGATCCGACTTATAGCGCCCCTCCTTGGGTTTTCCAGGCGGTATGACCACGAAAGTATATTGCCCAACCTTCCTTGTGAGGAGTGGCTGGTGGGTTTGAACTGCCAACCTTCTGGTTAGCAGTCAAATGCCTTAGGCACTACGCCACCAGAGCTCCTTGAAGAGCTAATGGATGGTGTTATTCTAGACACTGGAGAGGTACATGCCATAGAAGAATAAGGATATTAATCAGGCCTCTTTGTTTATTTCATTTAAAGGTAAAAGGCAGCTATAAAAGCCAGGATGTGGGAGACATAAATTAACTGCAGCATGAGTGGAAAACTTTTTATTCCAGATGTGAGCCAACACACGTGGAAGAGGGAGATAATAGTTCCAGACTTTGCTACTCAGAGTACAGAACTAGAGTTTGAGAATTTAGCACCTTGTACAAACCCAAGGAGAGGTCACTATGAGTCAGGTCTGACTTGACAGCACATAACAACAACAACTTAATAAATACAGCAGCCAGATTGGTGAAGTGACTTACTATTTGCTATGAAGAGCTTTTGAAAGAACTCTCTAAGATAAGACTACAGAAGAGAAAATTTAGAGGCCTTGTCAGCTGCTTTCAGAACTTGTCCACAATGTACATACAGAATCAGTGTGAGAAGTCACAGTTTGATATTTCATCTCAACATGAAAATTTTTGTTTGTTCATGGAAGTGTTTTTAAAACTAGTGCATGTACAAAAAAAAAAAAAAAACCTAGTGCGTGTACATTGCAAAAAAAAAAAAAAACCCACCAACAGACTAACCTAAGAGCCTCTTCACCAGCTGTCTTCCGGCCTCCAGTGTCACCTCGCTGGAAATGGGCCCCAACCGTTCCTACGCCAAGGGTGGCTCCTGTGTTGGCCCTGGCTTGTGCAAATGCACCTCCTGCAGGAAAAGTTGCTGCTCCTGCTGCCCTGTGGCCTGTGCCAAGTGTTCCTAGGGCTGCATCTGCAAAGGGGCATCAGACAACTGCAGCTGGTGTGCCTGATGTGGGAGACCCCCGTGCACATGTAAATAGAACAACTTGTACAAAGTTGGAGTTTTCTTTTCCTACAACCCAGATCTGTTTGATATGTTTTGTTTCTGTGACGTTTGTAAATGACAATAAACACATGCAGTCTCTTAAAAAAAAAAAAAAAAAAAAAAACCAACAATAAAAAGTATAAATTATAGTTTTCCTCTACTTTTCAAAGACAGCTACTATGGATAATGTTGTATGTGATGTAAACTAGGGTTTTTCAACCTGACTATTATTGACATCTTGGGCCAGATAATTTTTTGTTGTGGGAGACTGTCCTGTACATTATAAGGTATTTACCATCATCCCTGGCATCTACTCACCAGATGCTAGTAGCACCTCCCCACTTGGGCCAACCAAAAATGTCTCCAGAAACTTTCAAATGTCCCCTGGCAGTCAAAATTGCCCAATTGAGAATCACTGTTCTTTACCTCTTGGTGTATGTGTACCTGACCTGTGTGATTTTTTTCACTGTGAATGGAGCCATGTTGTTGTTACATGCTATCGAGTTGGTCCTGGCTCATAATGACCCTATGCACAAGAAAATGAAACACTGCCCAGTCCTGCCCCAATCCTCACAGTTATTGCTATGTTTGAGCTCATTGTTTGCAGCCACTGTTGCAGCCCATCTCATTGAGGGTCATCCTCTTTTTCTCTAACCCTTTACTTTGCCTAGCATGATGTCTTCTTTCTCCAGGGATTGGTCCCTTCTGTTAACATGTCCAAGGATATGAGATGAAATCTTACTCTCCTTGCTTCTAAGAAGCATTCTGGCTGTATTTCCAAGACAGATTTATTCGTTCTTCTGGCAGTCGATAATATTTTCAATATTCTTTGCCAACACCATAATTCAAAGGCATCAGTTCTTTGGTCTTCCTTAGTTGTCTTTCACATTCATGGTGTAGGTCAGGCATGCCTTAATCTTCATAGTGACATCCTTGCTTTTTAACACTTTGAAGCAATCTTTTGCTCCCCATTTGCCCAGTGCAATCAATATGTCTTTTTATTTCTTGACTGCTGCTTCCATGGGCATTGATTGTGGATCCAAGTAAAATGAAATACTTGACAACTGAAAATATTTAATATGGTAATAAAGCCATAGTACACGCTATTTTAGGGCTTGCTGTTTGTCAAAATTTTAAATGTACATTCCCATTGCCCCAGCAGTTCCTCTTCTAAAAATCTATTTTGCAGAGGTATGTATCCATATATCTTTCTCTACTCGTGTAATGGTGTTTATTGTAGGAATCTTGCCATTGTGGAAAAAATCTAAATGTCCATTAGTAGGGAATTGACGAATAAATTACGGTAATGGTTAAGATGTTAAAAAGATAAGCTAGGTATGTATGCATTAAGAAGGAAAGGTATCCAGAAGTTAAAAGAGCAAGTCAATATAGTTATGATTCCATTCCACAAAGGAAAAATAATGCATTTTAAAAGTCTGGAAGGGTATTAACTGTTCATTACTCTGGGATATTGGATTATGTGGTTATGGGTAGGATAGGATATAGAGTCCCTGGGTGGCACAAAAGTTAAGCACTCAGCTACTAACTGAAAAGTTGGCAGTTAGAACTCCACCCAAAGGCACTATGGTAGTTCAGTTTGTATGTCAACTTGGTTGGGCCTGGTTGAATGGCTGGGCAGCTGGATGTAGTATTCCCCATGATGAGACTGGGAATCAACTCCATGGTAGGATCTACTGTGAGCACCTGTGTAGCTGCCTTTGGGATGTGGTCTGCTTCCTGTACATAAAGAGAAGCCGTGGGGAATGGTCTCTAGCTTATGGCATGCTTGGACCTTGCATGTAGCCTTGTTGTTGTTCAGCACCCTGCTATGCTCTGCCGATCTTGAGACTTACAATGGACTTGAATTAATGGCCTGGCATGTGGTTTGGTAACATCGGGACTGTGCCATTTTATTTATCAACCTTGGGCTTATTAGCTTCAGCAGCCAGCAGCTGCCTGAGTGAAGAGATGCCTCTAGCTTTAGTGGGCCGGAAGCAGGAGGCAGAGCTGAAGTTGAAGGTCAAGGGCTTTCACAGAGCCCCTAGAGCCTGGCACTTTGAACTCGGACTTAAAGCCTCCAAACTGTAAGAGAATAAATCCTGTTTGTCAAGCCATCCCATTTGTGGTATATTCCTGTCAGAGCAATACTAGGTAACCAGAACAGGCATCTTGGCAGAAAGTCCTGGCAGTCTCCTGAAAGGTCATAGCCATTGAAAACCCTACACAACACAGTTCTACTCTGAACCACATTCACCATGAATTAGAATCAACACAATGGCAACTGGTTTAGTTCTTTTATTTATCTATTTTTTTTGGTGTAAGATACAGGATATAAAATGTGTGCTCTTTATATTTTTAGATGTTTTACAACATATTATTTGCTGTTGTAAATAAAAAAAAAAATTTCCATTTTGAAAAGTATATAGTATAGGGTACTTCCAAAAAAAGCTAACCAAACCCATTACTATGGAGATGATTCTGTAGAGTTGACCCTATAGACAGAGTAGAAACTGCCCCCATAGGATTTCCAAGGCTATAA